TAGAGGGACACGCCCGACTTAAGGATAAATTCGGCCGAAGATTATATCGGGGATCCGCCGAGCCCCGCTGTCCTGCTGCGGGCGACGACGCGCGCGAGACATATGGTTATTTCTCCCCTTTCACCCTTTCCCCTGTCCCTGGGGCCCTGGGCCCAAAAACTCGTCAATGGGAGGAGGAGGAGGAGGAGGAGGAGGAGGAGGAGGAAGAGGAGGAGAAGTAGAAGGAGGAGGAGGAGGAGGAGGAGGAGGAGGATGGGGAGGATGGGGAGGACGAGGAGGAGGAGGAGGAAGAGGAGGAGGAGTATGACCATGTGACAATGTCAACCAATGCCTGCCCACGTGTGAAACACAGGGAGACACATCCGTACTGCACTAAACTCTGCCTCTCTTGAGTTTCTCGGCAGCACTCAGCACCTTGGGCTCGAGGCCGCTTGAGATGCGACTCTGATGCTCTGCCCTATGGGGGGTGACCCTGTCGGTGCACATCTTCCCCAACCCACGGAGAACGACAGAGGCGTAGCATCCGCACGCCTTGCAGTACCATAAACGAAGCTTCGACGAAAACTGTATATCGTGAGATGGGTCTACCCACCCACCCGCAATATGACGTTGGGCCTGGGGGGTTTTAAAAGATAGACCCGTTATACTTTAATGGTTGGAAACACGGACTGTTAAGAAACCGATTGCTCGTGGCCCTAGACGCTGACCCTCCACACCTACAACAGGCCCTCCCCTTGTCATCCAGACAGTGAGAGGAGGAGAAGAGGGAGAGAGAAGCAGCAGCAGGACCCCGACAACGTTTCACAACATGTCCTTTTTCCTCAACGACACCCGCTTCAACATTCAACGTATCTAGGGTTGAACGAAGTAGCCTCATTCGAACTAGGAACGCACGGCGCTCATGCAACAAAACACCTTGACGAATGTGTTCGGGCAGACGAGCCTGTCGGGCGGCCACGCTAGCAACAACGTCGGCAACCGAATTTCCAGTGATGAGCCACCTCTGCGAACGATTCCTAGCAATAGCGGACTCATCTTGCTGGGAATTAACAAAGAGGACGGTGAGATCTTCGGGGCGACGGTCCTGCGCGCGCAGGGTCTCGCCAAGCGAAGCCCAAAAGTCAGCATCCTCACCGACTGGGCTCTGCCACTTCTTACTGTACCAACCTACCGCGACAGACTCACTATCTGTAACATATACTATGGCCCCAGGAGTGGTCCAACCCGCAAGAGTGAACGCTCGGAGCTCCCCGCGGGCCACCACTTGCTGCGGCCCAGCTAGGGGCCCAAAGATACAGGCATGGAGATCCACATGGGGCCCCAAAGACTTGAAAAACACAATCCCGAGACCAACCCTACGGAAACGCTTGGAGGAGGTGCCCTGTTCTCCCGAGGCATCCCCAAACAGGATCAGCGGGGCTAAAGGGGTCCCCTGCCATAGAAATCCTATAGAGCAGGCCTCGGTAGATCCTGCAACAATCCAATCTTCGACTTCGGGCGGCGCAGGCACTCCAGTCCACCGACTGGGGATCATGCCTCGCAGCCAAAAAGCGGGGTCCAAGCCGGACTGAGCAACAGCCTGCGGTATGAGCTCAGTGGTGCGTTCGTACGCCACGTTATTCTTGATCGCCTCGCACGTCCAGCATCGATGTAGTAGCGTCTCTGGGTAGTGGTGGCAACGCTGGCAGATCTCCGAACCCTGGAATCCCACGAGCTGCTCCTTTTTTCCGAACCCTTGACCAAGCTCCTCCGGTAGCACACATCAACATCGCAGCCGAGAGGCGATGCCCATGCTTGGGTACCTCGTCCAACTGCTTCAGCAACGTGCGATGCGATTCATAGTCGGCTCCCAGCCCCAGGCCGCCGCCGCAGTAGTGGGAGCTTGCTGCCCTCCAATGGCGCATCTCGAGGACATCAGCGAAGTCCTGGAGGATGCCTTCGTGGGAGTCCAGGGCCTTGATCCCTGTGTACAGATCGTCCGTGAACCTCCAATCGTCACCTGCAGCCGCGTGTGGAGTGGGGATGGTCCACGACGTCGCATCGGCAACACCCCAGGCTGCCTCGATGAGGTGGAGCAGCACGGCGGAGACCGGTCCTCTGACCAGCTTGGACCGATGTGGAGGCCCCGCTGAGGAAATCCCCTGGGCAAGCTGGCCCCACACCCTGCGGATGCCTGGCCGCAGCTCTGGGTGATCTCGCCAGATCTGGAGATACATATCAGCACAAAAGGTGGGGAGTCGGATCCCTGGGTCTTGACAAGGGCAACGCAAGGCTAGCAGGGATGTCAGGCAGCGGCCTTTGGTGAGGGCCGCGCAGGAGTGATCAAGTCTCCTGCGGGCCTGCACAACACGTTAGCCAAAGGTGCCGTGAATTTGAAATCCGTATCCCCCTGCTGCCTGTGCCCCTTGGCCCTCGAATCGTTGCGTGACCCTATAGCGTCGAGCGACCCTTGCATATCGACCAATATTTTCTAACATGATGCCATGTTTGCTGTCTCGCTTGCGTCTGGTCGCCCTCGCCAAGCGTCACCCACATGAAACATCAATGCCGAGAAAACTGGCTTGGCTCTGAGGCTGAAGAATAACACCGCGACGCTGAAGTACCTGACAAATCCATTTGGCATCGGCCACGTTGGAGCAAACAACAACAGAATTAGGTGAGACTGCCCACTTCTTCGCCTGAAGACCGACACATGTGTCCAGTATACATGCAATGGGCTGGGCTCGGATGGCAGACCTCGACCCTCGAACTTGCTAAGACAGGTCGCCGATCCACACGCGATGGCTCGCCGAAGGGTGAGCCAACGCAATCTTCTGTAAAATAAAATGCGCCATCGCGCGGCCGAGCCTTGTTACAGAGCTAAGGCCCTGGACAATACTCCGCGTCGGCTGAAAGGGAGCCGATGAGGCTCCTAACTGACTTAAGACACGTGCAGAAACACATCGCAATACTTCCAGGAATAAGATACGTGGTGGGAAGGGCAACTGCAGAGCGGATTGGACTAAATATGGCCATTCTATTGAGTCGTAGAATGATTGAATATCGCACAGCCAGTGTCCCACCTGAACATTCAAGTGATGACGAACCTCCTCCTGCACAGCGCGGAGGTACGCTTCTCGTAGGCAGGAAATACCACTGACTGCTGCATCCCACCCCTCCTCGGTCTCTGCCGACCAATCCCGAACGAGCGGTTCCCTGATCAGGGACCACAGCCGACCGAGGAGGGGCACCAATCCGATGATGCGATCACCAGATGACTTCTTGGGTAACACACGGCCCAAGATGAGCTGCAACTGCGCAGGCCAGCAAAGGCACTGCTCACAGGCCTCGAAGACCAAGATGAGCTCGCCCAGCGCACTGCCAGGAAGCCGCTCCAGGTCCAGCGGAGCGATGAAGTCCACTCCCATACCAGTGCCAGGTCGCATGCGGCGCAAGGCCGCTCGCACCTCAGCAACTGTGATGCTGGGCAGGAACTCGTCCCTGGCGGCCTCCTCAACCTTGGCAAAGGCCTGGAACGCAGCATCCTCGTCCAAGGCCGTCGGCGCCCAGAGCTGGTGCCAGTGCTTAGCCTTGACGTCAATGATATCTTTCGGGTGGTACCGGACAGCGCCATCCACCTCGAGCTCACCCGCTAAGTAAGGCGTCGGAACCAGCGAACGGCGCAACTTGCCTAACGACGCCTTGTCGCCCACAAAGCCGCGAAACTCACCAAGGGACTCCTGGATCGCCCGCCGCTGACTCCTGCCGCTGCACCCTCCGCGGCCTCCAAAATGCCCACCAAATTGCTTCCGAGATGCGCGTCGGAGAGGACGAGCGAAACGAAAGCCCAAGAGGACCCCACAGCGGCCAAGAATACGGTGACCGCATTTTTACCGACATAAGCATAAAGCAAATAAGATTTGACATGCAACCAAAAAACCCGCCCACAGCGCAGCATCGCACGTCGAAGGGTACTGGGCGAAACACGGCGGGGGCCTCAGCGATAAGTACCCTCAACCCTCAAGAGGGCCCCATGCGCGTCCGGAGAGGCCCAAAAAGAGGAACACGTAGGAGCCCCAGGAGCCCTGCCCCACAAGATGGCCCCCGAGACGCCCAGCATGCCCTCACGATGCCCTTAAGGGGGCCCCAAGAAGCCCTCAGAGGGCCCCTCTGAACAGGCTTCCGAAATATCGCCCCCGAGACATCCAAGAGGCATGCAGAAGCCCCGCGACAGACGCGGAGTAAGAGGGGAGCAAGCCAGCAGCAACGACATGCATGCATCACGACGGAAAACGGCACACAACACATACGACACATCTCCTCTTCTGGGGGTCGGCGGGATGACGTAAGCATTTTGAATATCTGAGATCTGGCGGGTCTGGGAAACGTACCAGGCGGCGCGGCCATTCCAGAGTGTTTCTGAACGCTCTGGGAGCGGTCAAAACGCTGCGCCGATGTCTCCTCATCCTCAGCCTGCCTGGCTACGGCAGGTTCGTGTCGTGCCGACTTGCACATGGGTTTCTGACACCGCGCGGATCGTTCAACCTCCAACCATCGCGGCTTTCCGAAAGCACGGATCGTTCGATGCTGGCTGATGATGGGGCCACTAGCGGCGTTTAGCCTTGAATGCCTGCGCTGGAGTCGCCGCCAGATCGACTCGTCGCGCAACTGCCGTACCACCCCCTGTAAGCGACTGCCTGGCCCTGAGACGGAACGATGCCTTGAATAGTCATACAGGATGGTTCAAGGCACGGAACGCAAAATCCGTGGACTTCAAAACCAGAGCAATTACAGCGGCATCATGCCAACAAC